TTTGAGGTGTTTTATCTCCGTTATGTGTGCCATGAAGGTTCTCTGTACATTTTCTAGGTCAGCAATTTCACCTGCCTTGAAAGGTGCTGTTAGTGTGCAGCAATATTCCAGCCGAGATAGAACAAGCGACCTGAAGAGTGTCATCATGGGCTTGGTCTCCCTAGATTTGAAGGTTCTCATTATCCATCCTGTCATTTTTCTAGCAGATGCGATTGATACAATGTTAGGGTCCTTGAAGATGAGATCCTCTGACATGATCACTCCCAGGTCTTTGACGTTGGTGTTTCGCCCTATTTTGTGGCCAGAATTTGTTTTATACTCTGATGAGTATATTGTTTTTGATATGGTGACATTTCGTATCAGATCATCATTGTTAGTGAAGATGAGGTCCAGTGTATTCAAGTACATTATACAAGTTTATTCAAGTATACATTGTACAAGTTTATTCAAGTACATTATACAAGTTTATTGAAGTACATTATACAAGTTTATTAAAGTACATTATACAAGTTTATTCAGACATTATACAGGTTTATTCAAGTACATTATACAGGTTTATTCAAGTACATTATACAGGTTTATTCAGACACATTATACATGTTTATTTAGACACATTATACAGGTTTATTCAAGTACATTATACAGGTTTATTCACACATTATACAGGTTTATTCACACATACAGGTTTATTCAGACACATTATAAAGGTTTATTCAGACACATTATAAAGGTTTATTCAGACACATTATAAAGGTTTATTCAGACACATTATAAAGGTTTATTCAGACACAGTATACAGGTTTATTCAGACACATTATACAGGTATATTCACACATACAGGTTTATTCAGACACATTATAAAGGTTTATTCAGACACATTATAAAGGTTTATTCAGACACATTATAAAGGTTTATTCAGATACATTATACAGGTTTATTCAGACACATTATACAGGTTTATTCAGACACATTATACAGGTTTATTCAGACATATTATACAGGTTTATTCAGACACATTATACAGGTTTATTCAGACACATTATACAGGTTTATTCAGACACATTATACAGGTTTATTCAGACACATTATACAGGTTTATTCAGACACATTATACAGTTATATTCACACATACAGGTTTATTCAGACACATTATAAAGGTTTATTCAGACACATTATAAAGGTTTATTCAGACACATTATAAAGGTTTATTCAGACACATTATACAGGTTTATTCAGACACATTATACAGGTTTATTCAGACACATTATACAGGTTTATTCAGACACATTATACAGGTTTATTCAGACACATTATACAGGTTTATTCAGACACATTTATTACAGGTTTAATTCAGACACATTATACAGGTTTATTCAGACACATTATACAGGTTTATTCAGACACATTATACAGGTTTATTCAGACACATTATACAGGTTTATTCAGACACATTATACAGGTTTATTCAGACACATTTTAAAAGTTTAGAGTTTTACAAAAGCAGGTTGTGTAAATTACCTTTGATAACCCTTTATTAAAGTGATTTTCTGTTAAAAATGTCTGAGAGAACTGCAGAAGTGTCAGGGTCAGCAGGTCAGGGTCAGCAGGTCAGGGTCAGCAGGTCAGGGTCAGCAGGCCAGGATCAGCAGGCCAGGATCAGCAGGTCAGGGTCAGCAGTTCAGGGTCAGCAGGTCAGGGTCAGCAGGTCAGGGTCAGCAGCTCAGGGTCAGCAGGTCAGGGTCAGTGGGTCAGGATCAGCAGGCCAGGGTCAGCAGGTAAGGGTCAGCAGGCCAGGGTCAGCAGGCCAGGATGAGCAGGCCAGGGTCAGCAGGCCAGGGTCAGCAGGCCAGGGTCAGCAGGTCAGGATCAGCAGGCCAGGGCCAGCAGGCCAGGGTCAGCAGGCCAGGGTCAGCAGGCCAGGGTCAGCAGGTCAGGGTCAGGTCATGGTCAGCAGGTCAGGGTCAGCAGGACAGGGTCAGCAGGCCAGGGTCAGCAGGACAGGGTCAGCAGGTCAGGATGAGCAGGCCAGGGTCAACAGGCCAGGATGAGCAGGCCAGGGTCAGCAGGCCAGGGTCAGCAGGCCAGGACGAGCAGGCCAGGGTCAGCAGGCCAGGGTCAGCAGGCCAGGGTCAGCAGGTCAGGGTCAGCAGATCAGGATGAGCAGGCCAGGGTCAGCAGGCCAGGGTCAGCACGTCAGGGTCAGCAGGTCAGGATGAGCAGGCCAGGGTCAGCAGGTCAGGATGAGCAGGCCAGGGTCAGCAGGTCAGGATGAGCAGGCCAGGGTCAGCAGGTCAGGATGAGCAGGCCAGGGTCAGCAGGTCAGGATGAGCAGGCCAGGGGTCAGCAGGTCTGGGTCGGTAGGTCAGGGTAAGCACATGCAGGTCAGGTCAGGGTCATTAGGTAAGAGTCATCAGGTCAGTGTAAGCATGTGCAGGTCGGGGTCAACAGGTCAAGTCAGGGATCACCATTTCAGGGTCAGTAGACCAGGGTCACAGGTCAG